AGATGAGCCTTCTCCGCAGTGTGGCTGGGCACACCCTTAGAGATAGGACGAGGAGCTCGGTCACTCGGGAGGAGCTCAGAATAGAACTGATGTGGCTCAGGCACTCGGGAGGAGCTCAGAATAGAATCGAGGTGGCTCGGGCATCTGTTTCGGATGCTTCCTGGGCACCCTTCTGGGGGCACCTTGCTGGGGAGGTGTTCCAGGCATGTCCCACTGGGAAGAGGCCCCAGGGAAGACCCATGACACGCTGGAGGGACTGTGTCTCTCAGCTGGCCTGGGAATTCCCTGGCAGGAGGAGCTGGAGGAAGTGTCTGGAGACAGGGAAGTCTGGGCATCTTTGCTTAGACTGCTGCCCCCACGACCCAGTCCTGGATAAGCAGAAGAAGATGGATGGATGGATGGATGAAAATGCACATAGAAAGGTGGATATACTGTAAACCTGCGTACAGACAGCTTGTAAACAGACCAAAGGTTCAATCAAATTATCTAAACTATGTGATTTGGCAATAAAAGCCAAACTGAGCCCACCCATAATGTTATAGTAATAATCCCTGATTGTACAGGAAAACTATCATTCAGTATTTGTGCACAAGTACAGCAAGTATGGTATTTCAGAGTTGAGCTAAGAAGTCTGTATGTAAACTGTGATGGCTGTTTACAGTGGAAAGTTTGAATGGGTGAATGGTCAAATAGTGTGAAAGCTCTTTCAGTGAGCTGTAAAGTGTAGAAAAGCACTACAAGACCATTTACCATTACTTCAAACACTGCTTATTTTCTCTGGATAACACTTGTCTTTCACTCTTATGTTATTTATGCCATAATTGGTTTATTAGCCTGCTAGCTTTATACCAGTCTTTATACTAAGCTATGCTAACCAGTGGTGGGCTGTAACCTTACATTTATCATAAAAATGTAAGAGTGGTATCAATTTTTATAACATTTAAATAACATTCCCCAAACTGGAGTGTGTAACAAAATCTCTAGCTAATCTTGTAATAAAAACTAGCCCCTCTGTCTAAGTGTGACAGCTGTTACTAGCAGCTTTGCCACCCTTCCTCCCAAAAAGTAACTGCAGTGATTTTGAAATTGCCAGTGTTGAAGTTGGCATCAAATTACAAACAACAATCCCAGAGGCCTGCTTTAAAAGCAAAAGCACCATGGAGATTTCTGCAACAAGGCGTGAGTACTGGAACACTCCCAACTTTAAGGAGTGACCATGGAGATTTCTGCAATAAGGCATGTATACTGGAACACTCCCAACTTTAAGGAGTTATTTGAAACTTCTTGGAATGAGCTGAGAGACATGTGTTTGATGTCCTGTACTACCAACATACAGTACAGTCCACAACAGAATGCTAGGGAATAGAGCAAAACAGACTGCTTGATAAAGAGAGTGGAAGAAGAAGAATATTCCAATGATACAGGATGATGTGAGTAAAAATGTTCAGCTTTGGTGTGAAGATTCCTAAATAAAGTTAGATTTTCTTTCTTTTAACTCAACAGTTAAAAGTTGCTAATGCTGTCCACCAAAGGAATTTTTAACACATACCTACTGTGAAGTCTCTCCTACTAATTGACATTAATTTACTTCTGAAGATAATGTGGCATCATGGGAAAAAGAGAAAAACAGCCAGAGAAAGCTGTACAGATGAGACATTACATAAGATAACTCTAAATCTCTATCTCACTATTGACAGATAAAAGTGACACTAATACAAGGTGAATTTGCATAGCAGATGTTCCCCTACACAGGGCTAGATTTATTGGACTAGCAAACACTGGGATGGCTACGTGCCATCTGTCATATAGCAGCAGGAGATAAATTAAAAGTAACAGCTGTGAGTATACTGTGTAGGTAAGGACAAGCTATAGCATCTTGCTCCAAGGAGGAAGGGATACATGCCAGAGGTTATTCCCTTTGGGAAGTCTGATGAGGAACTGGAAATGAGAGAGAGGAAAAGTTGAAAGTTGAGGGAGAAACATTTTCAGAGGCTGTTTACTATTTGTATTCCTCATTCGTCTAAAAGCGGCATGCAGCTACATATTGCCATAACTCACTGTGCTTGTATGCGCCAACATAAGATTTGTGAATTACAGTTTACACTCCATCATGTATTAAGGGCTGTTTGTTATTGGACAATATTAAATTTGTATGAGCAAAAATTATAGCCACTGTGAATAACAATCAGTCCCTTCTTTTTTCACTGATTTCAGTCTTCTGTCTTTTTTGCTCTTTTTGGTTTACTAGCAAGTTTCTCTTAATTCCACAACAGCCTGTGACTCTTGTAAGAACAACATTTAAGAATTAATGAGTTCATCATGATATGAGTGTCAGTGTCTGCAGTCCAAGGGCTTAACACAGAGTTCACTGCATTCCACTGTGTTCAATCAAATTCATAAAATTTGAGCTGAGGTGATGGTATAGTACAAGCAATAAACAAAAATATGCAACTCTGGTTGTGATTATTTCTTAAAATACAAAGAAAGGGGGTAGCAGTGCAAATAACTTTCAATCATGAATTGTTGTGAAAGTACATTTGTGATTAAGATTGTGAAAGAAAAAAGAAGAAAAAAGAGCTGTCTGTGACAGAGAAAAGCAAAACAAGGCTTTGCCTTGTTTAAAATTTTGCTCCTTGCTGCAGGGAAATTAAACATTTCAAAGCTCCCAGTCTGCAAGGACAATTAGAAATGAAGCAAAACATCATCAGAGTCACCAGATAATCATCAGACTTGTCCCTGCATCTCTGGGTGTAATGTGTTCTGTCTAAAACAAACACCTTTTAAATCCTGTAAAAGGGGGTTTTATGCAGTTTGTACTTGAAATGCATATTTAAAAATAATTGATCCATTAAAAAAGGATTGTCCAGAAAACACAGATCAATGCATGCTTCTACCCACTACTGTTATGTGAATATATTGTCCAGTTTGGTGCTATTAAATCAATGTGGAAAAGAGGCAGCTGATCTAATTAAATGAATGCTAGTCAAACATCAATTGCATGAAAACAATGTGGAAAACACAATGCAAATGTGCCACACAGTATTTCAATTTGAGGAATGTGATAGTCTTCTCATCATTCAATAGTTCTGATGTTTTCATGTCTACAGTAATGCAGAGGCTTCATGGATGTTTAAACTACAGTATGTACATCATGATTTCTTTGTTTCTACTACACTGTTACATTTTTCTTGTATTGATGCACCAACTTTTCAAGCAACCTTTTTTTCAAAATTATTACATTACCATTTTATAGGTAAATTAGAAAGTTGCAGTAATATCACTTGCAGGTCTACCGTTATCCTTACAGCAATATTTTATTGTAACAGATCAAGTGTATTGTGAAAAGAGTTACTGGTAGTGATGAACCCACAGAAATTATCCTCCTACTCTGCTGTTCTCTCTAGTTCTACAGAGCAATCTGGCCCAGTGCCAAACAGAAGACAGATAATGTTGGCGACTAGCTAGGGAACATAGTGCATTGACCAGCTACTCAACCAGATATTTTCAAAAGATACCAGTGTATCTGTGACAAACTAATATGGGTTCATATATTGGCCTGGCAGAATAATCCGTAGGGCTCTACATTTGAACACATGGTCGCAGTATACACACTGGCTCACTTACCACTCCATCATTGGTACCACTGAAACAACAAGAAGTCTCAAATACATTTTACGGAAGCTTTAAAATGACTAACAGAGACGAGACTGAGCAGTTAGTGCTCTTTTAATGTGTATCCAGATGAAACAATACCAGCCCTCTGATCTGACATAGTGGACATTTTTCAGGAATTTGGAGTATTATTGGAGTTGCTGTTGCCATTTCTCACAACTACGTACACCAGCTAAGGTCTCACACACACACACACACACACACACACACACACACACACATTGTTTTTCTATAAGGGAAAATTACATTGACTTACAATCATGTCCTGGAGACTTACCTTAACCATAACCTTTACTTGCCTAACCCTAAATTCAGCCTAACCTTAAACCAAGTCATCACTCTAGTGATTTACATTTTGTAGACTTGTTTTTTTGTCCCCATAATACTGACTGTGTAAATACATTTAAATTCTCACAACATAAGTTATACCAGGCCACACACACACACACACAACCCGCTCGTTTCACTCTTGAACAACACAGTGCAGGCACAGAGCCACACCTGCTTCAAACCACAAAGTGCCCCCCTGTAATCATCATCCATCTCTTTATTGTAGAACCGCCCCCTTTACACAAGCCACAGCACGTGTTAAAGTGTCTGGAGAAACACCTGGTATTAGCCTATTTTTTGTTCTCTAGGACCAAAGATGACCATTAGTAAAAACAATAATGACCACACTGGAGTAGTATTCATTGGTGGTACAGCAGTCCAGATTTCAGTTCTTTTGGAATCTGCAAAAGATAAAAATGCTCTGGCTTTTGTGGAATTATTGTGTATAATTTAACAGATCATACCTGTGGTCTGTGATCCATCAGAAACCTTTGACCTTTCTTGCAGGCAGCTAGTGATTCCTATTTATTTCAACATCATCACAGTCAACTTGTGCAGAGTTAAAATTCTCATAGGGTATCCATCATAACCCTGTGTCACCTTCATTTGTTGCAAAGGCATCGTTATCAGTGAGCAGGGACTAATTTGAACTTCAAGTCTGAGACTTTTGTAACACCATGTGCTTATTCTTTTACTTTTGGGTGTGATTTCTTTAAAATCTCGGCTATTGAAGCTTTCAAAACCTTTCAGAGGTGCTCCTACTTGCAGCTGCATTACCACGTGAGATGACATCTTTAAAGGATTAAATCATTGCTGTCAATGAATTATCTCATTTTCTGCATACGGATTCTGGTGTTGTACCTTTGCCTTACAGCCTTACATATATTTAAAGCTTGTCAAAATGATAATCTTATTTAAAAATTGGAGCTAAATTACATGACAGTGAAACTCACTTCAGTATAACACAGCCAGTCCCAGTGGGTGGCGCTGTCCAGAAAACCTGTATCCTGGTGCGTCTGCGAGGTGTGCTCTCTGTCACTGCAGGAGGGCAGTTGGTCATAAACTGTGTCTCCTCCTCATCGATGATCTAGAAACCAAATAATAGATTATTTAGTATAAACATATGAAAATGCAAAGTACATTACTTTTGATCATACCACTAAGATGTTTTTAATTTAAAAAACTGGATGTCTAATTTGTTTTTCCCTGAAAATGAGTACCCAAATCATCCGAAGTAATGGATTTCAAAACCAGTGCTACAGGAAGCAGCCAGCCTTGGAAAGCAAGCCAACAACTGCACTCCTCTGGTTTACCAAGGCCCAGTATTATTGGCTTGAGACCGTTACTCTGGGTGGCATATGCACTACATGACTGACATTTACCTTCTTCACTGAGATATGGTTTTTGCTTACAATTTTGAAACTGGACACATGAGGACTCCTCTGGAAATATTACCAGATAGCTTTTCAGAGACAGCTAATTCTTCATCTAGACACACCCTATAGTTAGCATGTGATCCTCTGATGAATGTTTACCTGAGGGCAAAGAGTCTACAGCTACACAAGCAGTTCTGTGACACTGTACTCAAGAATAGAAGTGCTTTGAACTTAATATTACCATCAGGATGGTAACATGCTCATTGTGATAATACTTATGTTCATCAGTGTCACCTGTTGATTTGGTAAAAACGTGGTAATTAGTACAAAAACAAAGTACATAAGAGGTTGATGAGAATGTGTTTTTGGCAGCACTAGATGCAAAGTCATGGATTACTGATGTTATGAGGACTCATGAGACCATTAATATCTATAAACGTTTGTGCCTGTTTGGCTGAATAATTGAAAACTTTGACTTGCTTGTGGCAAACAGACAAAAAAGATCAGCAACATCATTAGAATTAATCTTATAAGGGCCATGAAGGTCTGCAGCAAATTTCATGCAAACAGAGCTCAAGATATTTCATTCAAAACTAGGGAGGCACTGATACCATTACCAGTACTGGGTATTGGGTCCAATACCACCCTCTACTACTACTACTACTCCTCAAATGTTGTCACATACTATACACCAGTACCACTTAAGAGCAACATATGCTGGATATGCCAGGGTTTCTCACACTGAACTAGGACCCAAAAATGCAGACCAGGACAAGAAAGAGTTTAGAAACATCTTTAATCAAGGTAGGGGTACAAGGTTCCAAAATGATGGATGGCAATGAGTTTTGGTCAGGAGCAGCCCAGGTAAGTCAGGCAGACAGGAGGGGGGTCTGTGCTGCCGGGGACTCAGCAGTGCACAAGTGAGGGGAGCTGGCAAGGTGAGGATGGTCTGCGGAGCTGGCTAGCTGGCTAGACAGGCGGGTAGGCAGTGTTGCTGGTTGGCCAGGAAACCTCAGTGTAGATGCAGGTACAGGAGTGGTAAACAGCTGCTGGAGTAGGTACATAGTCTAAGGCAGGGAACTGATAGTGTAGAGCTGGTGGATGGGATGCATACAGCAAGTACTGCTGGAAGGAGACACACCGGTGTCAATGGGGAATTCAAGTATTCTGAGGTAAGCAGAGTCGGTAGAATCAACAGTGTCGCTGTCGAATGAGGAAACACACAGCAGGTAATGCTGGACAGGAGACAATGCCAGCGTCACTGAGGATTCAGGAACTCATGGGTGAGTAGACAGAGCCTGAAGAGTCAACAGCATCACTGGCAGCTTGAGAGCATACAGCAGGATATGTTGAACAGGAGAGGACACCAGTATCACTGGGGTTTCAGGAAACTGACAGGTGAGTGGATGGAGATTGGAGAGTCAACAGTGTCACTGGCAGCTCGGGATAGGTTGAACAGTAGAGGCGGGCAGCATAGCTGGAGGCTCAGGAATTCACAGATAAGGTGACAGTTGAAGGAGAGTTGACAGCATCATCAGCGCCAATGATCAGTGCCGAGGAGCAGAACCAGAAAAGCCGGGTGTGGCGAGCATAGTGGACGGAGTGAGTGTTGACAGCTTTGTCAATAATGTCATTATCGTTAGCATAGACATCAGTATTGTTAATGGACCAGCAACTGACTAAAGGAAAGGAGGAGTTATATATGGACAGGAGAATAAGCAACAGGTGAAAACAATGAAAGGTGATTACATACTGGGGTAAAGCTGGGGCAGGTGAGATGATGCAGGGCAGGAAGTATCCCAAATAAAAGCACTCAAACTCAGAAGTGGAGCTAAACCATAACAAGTTAAGCAGGTTGTTAGGTGTAGGAGAAGATATTTCAGTGGTTCAAGAGTATTTTAAAACATGATGATGACAAAAGTAAAGCTGAGTGTGAGCTCTGATTCTCTGCTCTGCTCTGCTGTGTGCATCTGTGAGAGCCCTTCCCTACTCATGTCACACACACAAGGTCGCAGAGACGTCAAAGCTTGATATGTACTGTACAATGGGGAGAGAAATTGATCAAACATCTGTTGAACAAACAGGGCACAACAACAAAAATGCAGA